TTCGTCTTAATTATTACTTTAGGAAGAAATTAGGTGCTGGTAACTCTTGAGTTTGACGGTTTATGAATGTCTGCATTGGTTATTCTTCGCTATTGCCATCCTGTGCGACGAACATAATTATTTTCATTTTATCATGAATCAAGACCGTTTTTAGTTGTTGTTGTTTCACCTGTCCTGCTTTGCTTAACAATCCTAATATCTCTGGAGAAAATTGAAGGTTTGTAGCTCACCTAACAGCGTCACAGCCCAAGCCATACAATATACAGACTCTCCATGTTCTTAAACTTTCAGTGTATAAAAAATACGCCTCTTGCAGTTTCATTTGCATATTCCTGGGGCTCAGGGCAGTGTTGCGCATCAGTCGATCAGATAAATTGTACTTTGAAATCTGCCAAGGAAAAAAAAAAGGGTGAGAACATTCAACAGACAATACATATACAAATTACACTTATTACTTGCTTTTTGTTTCTTAATTTTGTTTGCTAGGTGTTTTTTTTTATTTTTTTTATTTTTTTTTATTTTAAGGACATAATTCAATTAATAGCTAGACACATGAAACATTATAATCAATTTGAGCCACAGATGCCTCTCCAGGTGCACGTTGATTTGAGAAAATTGCTGAAAACTCAAGGTTGCTTATTTAGGTGCTTCCATGAATTTTGCCAGTGTAATGGGAATGCCTAATGGTTCATCCACTGACCTTCCAGTCAAAAGCTCAGAGTTCAGGGCGAACTCAGGTCTATTTTTTAGCAATACAATTAACCATCACAGTGCTTTGGTCCAGTCTAGTAAATTAACAGAGAGGCCTGACCAAATGCAAAAGGGTAACAACTGCATCCCATCCATAGGAAGTAAAAATACTTCTGGTCTCTTCACACTACTGAAGTCTCAATAAGCTTTGGCAAGATGGATTCAGTGGCTTGTGCCCTGACTCCACTATTTAAGAGATGAATCCTAATTGACTTGAACTCACCAGAGTTGCAGCCATGTGTCTTCCAGCACAACAAACTGTCCTCACAAGTCTCATGGCATCACTACTAGGGATACCATACACAGCACCAGTCTCCAGCTCAGACATCCTCCATGAGAGAGGAAGAAAGTTAGTAAAGATTGTTTCCATAAGTCTGGGGCACCGTAGTACTTCATTGGCAGCATGTGTTGAATGCTGTGAGATTCTTGTCAGTATGTCTAGGATGTTGTGAACTGCCACAACAGAGGGGTGGCAGACCTCCAAAACGTATCTTATCCTTGGTAAAAGACTCATCTGGATCAAGCCCTGAAAATGACCATTAATACTTAATAGTTATCGAGGATCAACTGTGAATCAATTTTAATTACTAATAAATGGGTCTCTCTATCTGTTAGTCTGTCTGTCTGTCTAATTTAGTAATGTCAACTGAGTTGTAAATTGGCCACCGTAAAGAGTTAAAAACCTGACGTTTCGAGCGTTAGACTGACACTTTCGCTCTGACTTGGCAACTAGTGGCAGTTTTGCCATTTTAGCCACAAGTGGCAGTTTTGCCATTTTGGCCACTAGTGGAAGTTTTATTAATTCTGCAATTACTGGCAGTTTTGCCATTTTGGCCACTAGTTGCAGTTTTGCCGAGTTGGCCACTTGTGGCAGTTGTGCCATTTTGGCCACTTGAGGCAGTTTTGCCATTTTTGCCACTAGTGGCAGTTTTCCCATTTTAGCCACTGGGGACAATTTTGCCATTTTGGCCACTTGTGGCAGTTTTGCCATTTTGGCCACTGGTGCCAGTTTTGCCATTTTGGCCACTAGTGGCAGTTGTCCAATTTTAGCCACTACTGCTAGTTTTGCCATTTTGGCCACTAGTGGAAATTTTGTCATTTTGGGCACTAGCGGCAGTTTTGCCATTTTGGCCACAAGTGGCTGTTTTGCCATTTTAGCCACTAGTGGCAGTTTTACGTATTTGGCCACTATTGGCAGTTTTGTCATTTTAGCCACCAGTGGCAGTTTTGCCATTTTTTGGCCACTTGTGGCAGTTTTGCCATTTTGGCCACTAGTGGCAGTTTTGCCATTTTGGCTACTTGTGGAAGTTTTGCCAGTTTGGCCATTAGTAGCAGTTTTGCCATTTCAGCCACTTGTTGCAGTATTGCCATTCTGGCCAGTAGTGGTAATTTTGCCATTTTGGCCACTAGTGGCAGTTTTGCCATTTTAGCCACTAGTGGCAGTTTTGTCATTTTGGCCACTTGTGGTAGTTTTGCCATTTTAGCCTCTAGTGGCAGTTTTGCCATTTCGGCCACTAGTTGGGAGTTTTTCCATGTTAGCCGCTAGTGGCAGTTTTGCCAATTTGGCCACTTGTAGCAGTTTTTCCATTTGGGCCACTACTGAGAGTTTTGCCATTTTAGCCCCTAGTGGCAATTTTGCCACTTTGACCACTTGTGGCAGTTTTGCCTTTTTGGCCACTAGTGGCAGTTTTGCCATTTTAGCCCCTACTAGCAGTTTTGCCATTTTGGCCACTAGAGGCAGTTTTGTCATTGTGGCCACTAGTGGCAGTTTTGTCCTTTTGGCCACCTGTGGTAGTTTTTCCATTTTGGTCACTGGTGGCAGTTTTTCTATTTTGGCCATTAATGGCAGTTTTGCCATTTTGGCCACTTGTGGCAGTTTTGCCAGTTTGGTCACTAGTGGAAACACCTTCCAAGAATTAGGTTAACTTTTCCCATTTTTGAACTTGGGCAGTTAAATGAACAGCATATTTGGAGACAATGCTGTGTTAAAAGTCATTTCATCTAACATGCCCATGCTGACCACTGCATCATCAAAGTTAAAGTATTTTGTTTAAAAGTTGTCTTGTGTAACATGGTGTAAAAACTGGCATAAAAAATCGCCAATGTAAAAACACCTGTACTTACTTTAACAACATCCTGTTTCAATAGTTCAGCATCTGTTAGATTCTTTTCATCCTCTTGCTCATCCTTTCTGACCTGTTTATTGTGTTCTTTTCTCTCCCTGACAGGGCAGAGTGCTGGAAGCTCTTGTCCTCGTGGAAAGCCAAACATTTTGTTAGCTAGGTCCTGTAATTAGGGGACAAGTGTCAAAGGTTTGATCAGTAAAAAAAAAAAAAAAAATTAATCTATCACGTTGTTACAACAATTTTAACCTTATCACTTGGTACAATGAGGATGGCTGCTAGTCCTTGTATAGCGGCAGCCATGACAGCATCTGTTGAGTCATCTAAGGACCATCTGAGAAGGAACAGGGTTCCAGCATCAAGCAATACAGACAGCACATCACCATCAAGATGTCCTTGAAATGCTCCCATTTGATACTGAAAGGGAGAATGAAAAGGCTCTTGCTAGACTTGGAAAAAAGAACATATTGTTAAGTACTTTTGCAAGGGTTTTCAGTGGGGTTTGGACCAAAAAGGCATCTGGATTTGAATTTTTCCACTTGAGAATTCTTATTAAATCAGGTTATACACTTGTGAATAAGCTCCGACGAAGGGCTAACGCTCGAAACTTTTATAACTGTAACGGTGGCCAATTTACCATTTCAACTTAGTTGATATATTCAAATTATTTCGTTACCCCCACCGACGCAGCCCCAAACAGTTTCTTTAGAAACTATCAACCTTTATACACTTGTGAATAGATTGCTATAGTTTACATAATATATTCCGAGCAAATAGCAAATACATCTACCCTCATGTCTCCAGATCATCAATGACATGAAATCAGAAGGAATTATTTAATGGAGTGCACATTTCACAACAGCAATACTTTGGAAAATATTATCTTTCATTAACTACAAAACATATACTAACAGTACCTCTCTAATGATTTTGGCCAAAACTTGCAAAGCCAACACACGCTGCTGTAAAAAGCTGCTTCTGGCCAAAATGCAGAGTTCTTCAAGTGTATAACCCGGAGAGCTTGGGTCCTTGCCATGATGATGAAGACCAAGATACACTGGGACGTTATCCATTTTTGAAACCAAGCAGCCATTGAAGTCAAAGCGCGCTTGGTTACCTTCCTATTAGAACAAGAAGTCAGAGTTTTGAGAGATTCAAGTATAAATAATCCCAAAGTGGCTCATTTTAGCAGAGCTTGTCTCTGTTTTTAGAGCATTAAATGAAAATTAGGGAGTCAGGCCCTAGTGATTGCCATGCAAGACTACAGGTCATAATGTCTGGGTGCCACATGTGGCTGGGTTTTGTGTTGTTCTGAAATTTTTCATCACCTTGCTTTCAAGAGCATTCGGTGGAGGGCAATCTTTTATCCATTCTAGCTTTTCATATTCCACAGTGTCCATGTGAAGCCATTTGCTAGAGACTTCGACATCACCAATCTTTTTCACTTCACTTGACTGTTTATCATGTACAGAAACGATATTCTGTCCATTTTCCTCCTTAATCATTTCACTGTTTTCACTGAAGTGGACATGTTTTCCAACATGGCTTATGTTCTCCTCAGTAGAAATGTTAGTGTTCTGGTGACCAGCTTGTTTTTCCTCCTTTGAAGTTGTATCCATTGCTTCCACCCTTGTTTTTTTGTGCCGTGAAGTCAAAAAAGCAACAAGGTTTGGATCTGCAGGTGACAAAAGTCAAATCTAAATGAACATTTAGACTGCCAACAAAAGCAGCCTACAGTTATGAATCTGGCACATCTAAAAACCCAATGCATGCTCCTTCCTCATCTTTCCCTCAAGAAAAAAAGAACTACCATGGACAATTATACCTATCATTTGACTGGTTAGCAAAAAACTAACAACAGGTTTAAGTGGCTTAGATCTGAAATTCATCAGTAATTTAGAAAATTAGTGAATCTATTTTACATCTTTCAATGAAATCAAGTATCATATGATTAAAAGGGCTTGCCTCCACATTCATCTCGCCAGCTCCTTGGGAAACATATAAAGAATAGCATGGAGGACAGGGTAAGAGAAAAAGTTTCTCATCTACTTGTCCTTCAGACAAGCACTGTTACAGTAATAAATTTGGTTGTCCAAAACCTAAGAGTTCTTGTCCAAAAAATATTTTTCAAAACTTTAATTTGATAATCACAATTATCAGCCTTTTACGGTAATTTTTTTTTACTTAAACCTAGAGTAAATAATTTGCTATATCATGCACAATGTTAAAAAGAAATTGTTTTTCTTTAGTAGTTTTGACTGTTTATTCCACAATGCCATTACTCTCTTCAACAAGATGTGGCAGTGGTGGTGGGGGGGGGGGAACATGCCGTCATCCTCCAGTTTTTGTTCCACTTCTCCTACAGCTGCAGTATCATTCTGATGATGAACAGCAGAAGGTGAAGTTGTGCTGGCTTCAGACAAAATGTGACCATATTTTGTTTTGAGAAACAATAATAAGAGACACCAATCAATTGTAGAGTCTGGGTCAAACTCTTTCAGCCCTAAACCTGTGTCTTTGTACAAACACTGACTCTTCCTTATAGTAAAAATGTGCTTGTCCCACAGACAAGTTATATCACAGGTTAACATGATCCAACTAAATTTCAACCTGGCCCTGACAATATACATACTGGGGAATATGCATACTGATGTTAAGGTATTGAGGGTTCTGTTCATGCAAATTATTCTTCAATTATAGCTCATCAGTGAGGATCAGCAGACAGTATAATTTGGATATATCAACAAAGTTGAAATGGTAAATTGGCCACTGTAACAATTACAAAAGCCGACGTTTCGAGCGTTAGCCCTTCTTCGGAGCTCTGACTAAGGGCTAACGCTCGAAACGTCAGCTTTTGTAACCGTTACGGTGGCCAATTTACCATTTCAACTTTGTTGATATATCCAAATTATTTCGTTACTCCCACCGACGCAGCCTCAAACAGTTTCTTTAGAAACTATCAGCCTTATTCATCAGCAGACAGTAGATCACTTCCTGAGGAACATCATATAGCTGTGCCATGTAATACAAATGCAAGCAAAATGCAAACTCACCCAGTGCTGATTTTATCCTGGTTTGTTCCTCCATAATCTCTTCATGTGTCATAGCTTCCAGCTTAGCGACATTCTCTTTGTGAATTTGATCCACTGCTTTGTCCTGCAAAGTCTTCTTCTCTGCACTTTGTGTTAGACCTTCTCCTGAAATCAAGGATGACTTTGAATATTTTACTTGACCAGAATCTGCTTGGGTAACTTTCACTTCTTCAATTTTCTTCTGTGAATTGTCTTTCTGGTGTTTTGGAACACCAAATGTGACTGCATCTGATGCTGCAAACTGCTGGGCAAACAAACTTCTTCTGCCTTGAGATCCGGTTTCTTTAGATGACACATTCTGTAATAAAGACCAAATACAATCAAACTCAATTTTTGAAAAAAAAAACAAACAAACAAACAAACAAACAAACAAAACAAAACAAATGCTTAGGGCTCGACACTAACAGTAGCCAACTGGCCACAGACTAGTAGAAATCAGTTTTGACAAGTGATTTTCAATTTCCCCTAACCAGTTTGGCTAGTGAACAAACTGAAATTGTCATCACATCTAAGTTGTCACTGGCCAATTGGCTAGTAAGTTGAAAAGTTGGTGTCGCGCCCTGCGTGCTAGTGTAGTTTGATTGTCCAGGTGAGTGTAGCAGGTACTGAAACAATTAATCACCTCAGTGTTGGTAAAAGTGGTGAATATTTACCTCGCCACTTTGCAGCTCAATAAATATGACTATATACCTCCACTTCAGTGAATAAATATGACTATATACCTCCACTTCAGTGAATAATTGTCAATCATTTGAGGAAGAAGATTTTATCAAGTCTTTCCTACTTGCTCATTGATATTTCCACGATGGAGAACCATGGGAAAGCCTCTTTCAGACACTCTTGGAATAGCAATACTTCTATTGCCAATATCTTTCTCCTATAGAGAATTGAAGAATTTTAAAGGTAGTGTCACCCAATAAAAGAGATAACTGACCGTAAAGAGATGACAAGATTCAACCTTACTTAACCTATGTATCGGAGGTAATAAGGGATAGCAGGGCTCGAAATAAATGGTAACCCGTTAACCAATGGTTAGTAATTTTCAACCTTTGGTTACCAAAAATGTGTCCAACTAACCTGACATGGTTAGTAAAATTTTCTAACATATTTAAACATTGGTAGACCTCAGGACAAAGAACACGTAGACCAACCTCTCAGAGGAATACTTAGAATACTCAAGTTGTTTAATCAACTTAAACTCTTCTTAGAGAATGTGCTGTAGACGTACTGTTCTTGACTAATCATGATGGTAAATGAGAGGGTAATAAAATAGGTGCATAATTGTCAACGGTTTTAAGGTCACCATGCAATTTCAGTTACTTTTTAATTTGTCCTAGTCATTATTATCAAAATGTTTACTATTTGAGATATCATAACTTGTGAGCTTGGATACCAAACTTGATAATTTGGTTATTAAAAAAGATGTCTACTAACCCAAAGGGTTAGTGATCCAAAAATTAAATCTGAGCCCTGTATACCTTTTAATTGAGCAATAGAATGCATTTTCAATGGGTTTACTGACGTAATAATCCACATAGGATGTTGGGAGAATACAACATGAACAAATCATGAACACATCTTGAAAAAATCATGAACACATCTTGAACAAATCATGAACCAGAGATGATAGAAACTGCAGCCTTTCCTTTTATCAATTGAAAATAAACTCACTACCATTTTCATGGAGTTTTACTGGAAAAATAAACAATAGGTTTTGGACCAATCAAGGAACTTTATTAATATTTTAGTTATTCATAATCTAACATAGACACTTGATTCCAGTAAAAACAACCTAAGAGAGAGTTGATCGCTCCCATACAAAGACAGAAATCTTGCATTGCTACTAACCTGAATTTGATATAGCACTGAAGTTACATGCCTGTCGTGGACTATAAAATGTATGAAAAAGTAAGGTAACGTTCAAACCTTCGGATATTCTATACACAAGGCTAAAAGATTAGGAAAAAAAATTATTAAAATGTTTAAACCAAATGTTTTCGGCTGTTTGCCATCATCAGGGTTGAAAATAATGACCGTCTGTACATACATATATATCTTATGTGATTCCCGATGGGAAAAGTTTGATGATGGCAAACAGCCAAAAACGTTTGGTTTAAACATTTTAATAATTTTTTTCCTAATCTTTTAGCCTTGTATATAGAATATCCTTTATTAAGCGGACACTATGGACATTCAAACCTTCATTTCAACAAAAATTATTTAAAGATCAAGAAACAAATTTTCATTAGGAAAATTGTATAGAATACATTTTTTTCCCATCAATTGTATGTTCAAGCTTTCTCCAAGCTCTGTTATCAGCTCTGCTGGAGATCCTCAGATATGAAGCTTTTCCACAGTGGATCTACAACTTCTATTTCCCTCTGCATGTATAATGTTGTACATAGTTTATAAATAATATTGGAATTGTAATATAGCGTCATTATTTTATTTTACTCTAGCTTATTTTCTCGAATGTATTAGCTTCACAGCTACTCTGAAAATTTGGAGCATAAATGAAGCATAATTATGTATGATGTATGTAAATTACCACAAATCTACCTTTATTAATTAATAATAACTCACCATCAAGAAGTGCTTCACAGTCCATTTCCTCTTCGTCATCTTGCCTTTTGTTCTTCTGAAAAGAATACAGAATAATATTTAGAAAGGGCGTAATCCATTTGACCTACATAATAAAACAACTAATTTCTATCTTAGTGCTAATGCCTCAAAAGCAGACAATGCCAAGCAGGTACCTACAAATGTCTCTTGATGTCTTGTTTTAAATCTTGATTTCTTCTTTGGTGGGAATTCAGAGTCTAATCTGCTGGATGGTTGTACGGCTGGAAGACCTGAAGGTAATTAAATAGTCATATTATGACTCACAGTGCTGTAATATATTAGTTAGGCCTTGGTGACATATATAGACATATGTGGAAACAATTGAAAATTGGCCAAACTGTCAGAAAATTGGTTTTCATTCTAACAAACGGGAAAAGATGGGGGGGAGTGGGGAGGAATCAGACTGATAGAACTTTACCTCTGAATCTGACACTGCATCAGAAGCCTTAATGAAACTATACACGGAAGTCAAAAGCAGAATAATGTGTGCATAAATATCACACAAACCGGTGTATTGCCTGGATAAATCAATTCAATATTTAACCCTAGTTGAGATAATGGCATTTCATCTCAAAGACTTCATAATGCTCACCCTCTAACGTGACAATGTCCCTTGTAACTTGAACAGCGCATGGTGCGTCTCTCTTTTCCCCTGGTGGCCGAGATTCCTCGCGTGTATTCGACCGGAAAACGGCAGCTGCAGGATTTAAACGACCTGTAACGAATTTCTCTTGCAGCCGCAGCAGATCGTCTTCAGTATCTTTGGCTCCAGGCCTTGAAAACATTGTGGACTTTCAGGGTGCACGCATGCCAAAAGATTCCACCATCTTGTTTTCCAAAGCTTGTTAACCATGCAATTCTTACTCAAAAGGGATTGAGTACTAGTTATTGGTAGATTCAAAATGGCGGATGAATTAGAAGCTTTGCGGCGAGAGATTGAACGCAAATCTTTGGAACTCGAATCCTTGAAAAACTTGTTAGCACTCAAAGTAAGTTCCCTTCAAAAAATTTTTGCAAATTTTGTTTTTCTTTCGTATTTTTATGATGTAGATGTAGATTTATTTATACTCGAAATTTATGGAGCTTGTCAGGCACCTAGCTTAGGGCCTGATTACATGAGCC